CTACGTGGTATGTGTTGAAAAGTCATGTAAGAGTCCCACAGGGAGATGTGAGAGGGGAACCCACAGAGAACACAGGACATACAATAGACAGAGTCTGTGATAGAATGGAGTCCTGGTGTGGCACTGTAGGATAAGCACTGGACTGAAATGTCAGTTTGTACCTCAAGGTCGGCAGTTTAAAGTCACCAGCTGCTGCTCCTTAGAAACACTATACAGGGTCCTTATGAGTCTGAACTGACTTGAAGGCACTTAACAATGACAATGACAACATAATGGAATGATGGTGAAAAGTCCAAATGCAGGAAGCCATTGGTAAGGAAGGAGTCCCTGGTTGGTACAAATGATTAAGCACTTCAGATCTACCCAGAGGTGTCTCAGAAGGAAGACCTAGAGAGCTGATCTTTTCAAAGGTCACAGCTTTGAAAAACCTCTGAAATACTTTTACTCTGCAGACATGTGCTTGATATGAGTTAGAATCTACTCAATGGCAACGAACAACAACACGGGGACGAAAGCATGGGTCTGGTTAGAGCAATTAAGTAAGGCTTCTTGGAGAAGGCAGCATGTGAGATAGGGCTTGAAGAATGAGTTGGGTAGAAGAATGGAGGATTGGTGTTCCAAAAGGCAACACAGAACAGAACATTGCAGGTCCTGGGGACTTGCCTATGTTATTCTCCAGTGGATGGGAGGGACTGAAGAATTTTTACAGTGGGCAAAAATGGATCTCGTTTGCATATTAGAATGGGCAGAAGGGAAAAGGGTTAATGTGCTGGACTGCAAGGTTGGGTTGAACCACAAGATCAGCGGTTCAAACTCACCAGCCACTCCTCGGAAACCCTATACAGGGTTGCTATGAGTCAGAACTGAGTTGATGGTACTTAACAACAACAACAACTGTAATAGTACAGGCAACAGGACTATAAAGTATTTGAACAAAAATGGTGGAAATGGGTCAGGAGATTATAACCTGGCTCTAAATTGTCATTGGTAAGTACCATTCAACCAACTCATGGGACTGAACAACAATAACATATCCCCTGCTGGTGCTATAGGATAGGTGACCGTTTTCTAATCACAAGGTCAAAAGTTCAAACCCATCAGCTGCTGTTCAGGAGAAAGATAAGAGTGTCTAGTCCCTTAAGAGTTACAATCTCGGAAATCCTATATGGTGTTGCTATGAGTCAGAATCCACTCCATGGCAATGGGTTTGGGTTTTTTGTTGTTGCTGTAATATTCCCTGAAATCTCAGATTAAAAACCCAGTTCCTCGGATTTCTATGAGGCGAAATAGCAAAGTGTAAAGCCTGTGGATGTTGGAGCCAGACTGTCTGGTTTATAATGTCAGCGACACCACCTACTATGTGACAAGACATTAAACTTTTCCTCCTCTGTAAGGATAAGCAATCAACAGCAAAGTCAGATCGGCACTTCAAACTCACCAGCTGCTCCTCGGAAACACTATACAGGGAAGCTATGAGTCACAACCGACTGGACAACACTTAACAGCAAAAACAACAGCAAAGTAGAAGTGATCCTCGCACACACAGAAATGCTCAGGAAGTACTGACCATTATAATTATTGGGTTAAATCAACGCGCTACTGAGACCATCTCACAACTCCGAGATCAAACTCACAGTCCCCATCTAACATTCTCTTGTGTGGGCCCTCCTGCCCAAAGTCCCTATACCCACTTTTCCCTTCCCTTGAGCCCCTCTCTTTCTTCTTGGCCTGAGTCTACTATCCTCAGACTTGGTTATTAAAGGGTTTTAAAGCTCCTGGCTCCTCTTCTGAAAGGAGGAAGAAGAGGACCATTTAGTCTTTGCCTTTGCCTTGAGATGACAAAGCTAGGAAGCCTGGTGCCATTCCCTACTCTAAACCCCTGCCTATGTGTCCTGCTGATCTCTAAAATGTCCCAGCTACACATTTTCCACTGGTTCTAACAGGAGGTGGGACAGCAGCTGGAAGAAGCAGGTGCCAAGTTCATTTAACTGTGTGATGGAGGAGAAAGCATTGGCTTTCCAATCAGAAGATCCCCCACTAAGTGACTATGCTGGACTAAGTCTCTGCCTCCTCTGAGCCTCAGTTTCCTGAGTAATAGCTGTCCCTCTCCCTTCACATGATCTTTGTGGGGACAAAAGGAGCTAATAGTTTACATTGGAAATGGTGAACTACAGTGTAGATAAGAATTGTTATTATCCTTCTTGGGCATTTGGGTCCATGAGCCAACAGAGCCCAGATCCATGGGGTCCCCTGTGACTGGGTCTCTAGGGTTATCTAGCCACAGCTGGGCAGGATGAGTTGCACCTGGGAATCCTGTTAAACAGAGAGAGGAGACCTGTAAAGGGAGGGTTGGGGTTGGGGCTTTGTCCCCAGATCATAAGTGTGGAGACCCTAAGAGAATCCCTAATGTGGGTGGGAGTTGGGATTCCAAGGTCACCTATCCCATTGCCAATCTGGCCTCCATTCAGACTTATGACAGGTCCATGTGTAACTCTAATGGAGACCACAGGCTGCTAGGAGGTGAGGCTGGGCCAGGGCTGGCTCAGCTCACACAGCAATGCACTCAAGTCAGCTACCACCCTCTGGCCTTTTGAGTCTTCAAAACTACACAGTTCTCGTTGCCACTCCAACTAACTCTGTAGTAGTGAAGCAAAATGGGAAACTGAGGTAGAAATTCGGGTTGTAAACCACAGCAGGCTTTAGTGAGGAGAGCTGACCGCCTTCCTAGCTCACCAGACCCCTGCCTGGCTCTTGGCATGACTTTTCTGAACTTTTTTCTTTTTTTTAAACAGCAAACTACAATTTTTAAATTTATTTTTTAGTTAAACTATAAACTAAAATTGTTTAGTTTGTTTTTATATGCTGCTTTTCCTTATTTTAACATTACTTTGAACTCATTTCATATTCATGAATCTGGCAAATTAATTTGAATTTGGTTAGTGAGTTTATTAACAATATCTATAAACACAGAGCATGGTGGACCCATAGGACAAGCACTGGAAAACAAACCACAGGGTTGGCAGTTTGAGCCCACAGCTACTCCATGGGAGAAAGATGAGGCTTTCTGCTCTTGCAAAGATTTAAGGCCTTGGAAACCCTACACAGGGTTGCTATGAATTGGAACCGACTCAGTGGCACTTAACAACAACAATTATCTATAAACACTAATTATTCTATTGCAATTGAAATATTTAGACAATTATTAGTGGGATAAAGAAGAACTCAGATGTCTAATGTGGAGGAATCAGTCCAGTCAAGAGACTGACTCAGCTTTGGTCTTAGCTCCTCCTCTCTCTGGGATTCTGAACTATCTTTTGACCTTAACTTGTTAGTGAACTCCTTAAGAGCACAAGAGTCTTCCTCATTTCTCTGTCTCCAATGTCAGTCACTGTGCTGTATACATAGTAGCCACTCATTCATTTATTCATTCAATAACTCTTAGTGAGCACTCTGCTAGGTACTGGGGACACAAAGTTGAACAAACCAGACAAGGTTCCTGTCTTCATGGAGCTTATATTCTAGTGAGGATGACACACAAATATGAGAATTACAAATTATGACAAAATGTGGTTTAGGAAATAGTGGTGTGATATGGAGGAGATCACTTGAGAGTAGGTGGCGGAAAAGGCCTGAGATCTCAGCTGAGACATTCCGGTCCCACTCCCATCAAGTCGATTCCAACTCCAACTTATAGCTACCCTACATAGGGCTCCTGAGACTAAATCTCTATTGGAGAAGACAGCCTCCCTCATCTTTCTAACCTGAAACAGCTGGTGGGTCTGGTTTGCACTGCCTACTTTTCGGTTAGCAGTCTAGTGTCAGATCAAGAGCATCTTTGTTTAATAAAGGTGTGTTGCAAGGATTGTTGTTATTAGCTGGATAAATGAATAGTTATATGGATGGATGGATAAACCTGCAGGGTAGGTTTTGGTATAAATGAAAATCGGCTATAGTACCTAGTCCCCCAGCTTAACAGGAGAGGAGGGTGGGTCAAAAAAGTCCTTTACTATCCACTGGATTCCTACCTTCAGAACTTCCCCACAAAGTTTCCATGGTTATAATCTATGAAAGACGACTGACACATTTTTCTCCCACAGGGAGTTGGTGGGTCCAGTCGGTTTCTACTCACAGTGACCTGTATAGGGTTTCTGAGGAGCAGCTGGTGGATTTGAACTGTCAACCTTGTGGTTCACAGTCCAGTGGTGATCCTACAGCGCCACACTCAATGTCCCCTTGGAGGGTTGTTACTATTAAGTACCTTCGAGTTAATTCTGACTCATAGCGACCCTGTATAGGATTTCTAAGGAGCAGCTGTTGAGTTTGAACCGTTGACCTTGAGTTCGAGAGCTTTATCCTATGGCACCACACCTTGGAGGGTGGGCAGAGATAAACAGAAAGAGTTCCCGAGTTCCTCAACCTTGCTCTCAACTGAACGTATATTTAAGCAGCCGATAGACCTGGATCAAAGCGCCACAAGGGGGCGGTCGAGAGCACATTACTTTCCCCTTTAAGGTCACAGAGGAAGGCTAGAGGATGGAGGACCTTTGTGTCGGCGGGATGGAAATAGGCCCGCCCTTTAAGAAGGCGGAGACACTGGAATGGCGGCGACTTCGAATGCAACCTGGGGCGCAGACCCCCTCTTCCCGGAGAGTTTCCTTCAGTCTCTGCCGAGTCGCAGTGACGCCGCCTTCTGGCCCCTGGTTGGGGGCATCGTCGCCTGAACTGGAGCCCTCCCGACCGGACCGAGGCCAAGGCCTCGGCGCCCACCCCAGACTGGGCACCCTGGGTCAACCCTCGGGCCGGGGCCGACCAGCGGTCGCCATGGTAATGCTGCGCCCACGCCGGGTTATTCCTGGCTGCCTCTTCCTGGAGCCCCCTGACCTGCGCTCGGGGTAGCAGACCCTCAACCGCGGCCTGGCCAACTCCAGAGCAGGACTAGGGTGTAGACAGGAGCTCGGATGGGGTGGGGAGACCTGGGTGCTGGTTGGAGCTTGGCGCGGATGCGCCGGAAGGTCCTGGGAAGGCACTTCCCGTTCTCCGGGCCTGTTTCCCTCCAGTGACCTTCCTTCTTTTCCTGGAGAACCGTTCATCCTTCTCGGCCTACTCAAACATCACTGAGTAAGCCAACCCCGCAGTGACCCTCTGGACCCTGACCCTTAGATACATGGAGGCGGGGATGCTGCTCTGGTAATGTGGAGGTAGGCACAGCCCAGAGTTCTGGGGTTGACACTCAGCTGGCCTTGCAGTCCTATTGCCTACAAAGAAGGAACCATGGATTGGTGCATCCCACTTTCCTGGGACCCTAGAGTTGGGTTTTGAATGTTGGTTTAGGTAAACAGAAATCACTGGCTTGACATTCAGAAACGAGGCTACTGTGCTGGGCATGCTTGGACTACTGGGGATTTCTTCTATGTGTGCAAAATCCTTAGGCTCCTGTGCACAGTATTGAGTTAAAGAGCAACCCTGCTCTCCTTTGCAACCTTTCTTCTGTCCCCTCCCACTTTCCAGGATGAATGCAAATGGATCTTAGTGGGTTCTTTGACAAGAAAGGATTTTAACTTGTTTAAATCTCTAAATAAATCCTATTTTCTCATCTCATCTCTTATCTCTCTCCCAGCACTAGCAAAAACAAACAAACAAACAAAACAGTATACCCGACAGCCTTGTTGCTAGAATTGGAAAGAAGCAAAGCAGGGAAGACAGTGTGTACTTGCAAAGAGCATTTATTCTCCAACCTCAATTGCTTTGTTTTCCCTGCAGGCACGTAGTTTGCAGAAGCTGTTTGCTGTGGAAGAGGATTTTGAAGATGAGGTAAGAAGTATTGGTGATCAGAGATGGCAGAGAAAATTTGAAGAGATAAACACTCAGATCTGGAACATTTGGGAGCAGCCAAAAACATTTTAGTTGACATTATATCATTTTTGTTCTAGTAGAGGCTGAGAAATGTAAACAACCCACTGAACTGTCTTAGACACAGTAACAGTAAGACTCAGAGATGAATTGCCTTTAAATTCTCAGGGCCCCTGCTTGGAAGCTGTGTCAGGTAGATAGATGATTTAATTCACCTTTCTGATGACACACTTGGGATAGAAAGAATGTTTATGGAAAGCCAGAGACGTATGTTATTGTTGTGATGTGCCATGGAGTCGGTTTGTAGTGACCCTGTACAGGGTTTCCGAGGCTGTAAATCTTTACTGGAGCAGAAAGCCTCATCTTTCTCCCACAGAACAGCTGGTAGTTTCGAACTGCTGACCTTGCGGTTCACAACCCAGTTCGTAAACACTACCAGAGACATATAGGGGACAGCAATAAGTTTGGGGTCACCAACCGACTCAAAGTGCAGTTGAGTCAGTTCCAACTCATAGTGACCCTGTATAGGGTTTTCAAGGAGCTGCTGCTGCATTTGAACTGCAAACCTTGAGGTTAGCAGTCTAATACTTAGCCAGCACCGCACCAGGATTCCTAATGGGCCTATAACAAGGGCAGGTTACTTCATTCTTTGTCCTTTCATTTTCTCTTCAGCAATGAAGGAGTTCCTTTGCTTCAAATGCCCTTCCCTTTCTCCTCTCCCTTTAGTAGATACTCAGTTAGACTGAATCTAGAGCCAGCACCTTAGGATCATCCCTGTCTAGGTCCACCACATACCTATTAAACCTGAATCTCTGGGGATGGGCCCAGACAAGTGTATTTCAATTTCAGACACCACTGATCTCATGATCTCCACAGCCCCCTTTCCTACTCAAATCCTTTTTAGAAAGAAGTAGGATTTAAGTGAATAAAAGCCCAAAGGGGTAACTTAGCCAGCTTAGAGTACAGTACAAACAGCTGGGAGAAAACATCAGTCTGCTGATTGCAGTCTGTTATATATGGGAACCACTGAATCATGTTTATTAGAATAGATTTATTCTGTTTGATCAAAAAACAAACAGCTCAAAACCTGCTTTTTTTTTTTTAAACTCTCTTAGTACTTTACCTAAAAACTCCTACTTAGAACTCATTTTGATATATGTCTAATCTTTGTGCCAGGTATGATGGTAGAGGCTGCACCAGGGACCCTCCTGGAAGCTCAGACCCCATGCTCCCCTTCCTTGGAGGCTTTTGGAAGCTTAGGTTTGAAGGGAACAAGGGACCTTGCCCCAGTCTCTTAAAAACCAGTCTTTGGCTTGTGTCCTTCCCTGAGGCCCAAGGCAGAGGGACAAGGGCACACATGAGTTCTCTTTCTGACTCTGTGTGTCTGTTCCTGCAGCCATAACCTGGGACTAATAATAGTACCCATTCAGAGGACCATTGTGAGAACTGATGGAGAGAATGATGGTAAAGTGCTTACATGGAACCTGGCACCTACCTAATGCAGTTTCAAATGACAGAGACTTGTTTTAGTTATTGCTTGAGGACTTGATTGGTGTTGTCATAGTAGGAGATGTGCCTTTGTCTTTGTCTTGCAACTTTGGAGATCTGTGATTACAGACTGAAAAAAGTGACTGTCTAAGTGACCCTCTGGGGCTTGCCAGGTGATGGCAGGACTGCTAGGCCAGTAGAGGAATTAGGGTGAAGGGTTCTCACAGGTCAAGTTTCCCATTAATGAAAATGGCAGAATGACATCATGTCTGAGCATGCTGTTCAAGAGGAAAAGGATCCATCAATCCACAGGTCATCAGGATTTTAGTCATCATTATTGCTAAACCCTAAAGTGACTCTCTTGATAATATGTAAGACAGGAAAAAAAACCTTTTTGTAGCCCAGACAAATGAATACGGCAGCAAAGAGTGGGGTGGAGGGGACCTTCCTGTCAGTTAAATCAGCAATTCTGATTCAAAAACACCCTCGGAACAGGTCTGTTGCTCTTGAAGGTGTCAATCTCACCTTGCTTCCCAACTGGAATCCATACTTAATTTAACTTGCCTGAAAATCTATATTTAACTTCTGCCTATTTTGCTGGATCCGAGCTCTTGCTGGCTTACTGAAGGCTTTGTGTGCACGGTGTGTGTGTGTGTGTGTGTGTGTGTGTGTGTATGTGTTTCTGTGTTGGCCGTGGGGAATGGGCTGAGGAAGAGAATAGGCAGCATGGCCTGCTGGATAGATCCTTGTAGCACAAACTAGACCCCCAGCAAGCTAATTTCTGTGAGAGGGGTGTGTGACCTTGGGAACTGGTTTGACTCCATGGTGCCCCTCAGATGTTTGCTTCTGCTTCTGTAGCAGCCCCCCCAGAGATTGTAGAAAGAGTTAAGCAACCTGAAGACTTAGCCTTAGAATGTTTCTGCTGGAAGCTGGGCAGTAGGCTCACAGGCAAGATCAAAGGTGCCTGGTTTTTGGCTCGTGTGTTTGCACACATTCACACACACCATCTACCTGAGACAGTGAAAACTGAGCACTTCTTGATTTCCAGATGCCAAGATCCACCATCCTGTCTCTGCTTCTTTGTAGGATTTCTTGTCTGCTGTGGAAGATGCAGAGAACCAATTTGCTGGCGCACAGCTGGTGAATGCTGGAAGCCTGAGACCTATCTCCTCCAAGCCACAGGCCACAGTGCAGGTGCAGCCCTCTGGGTCACCACTGTCACAGCCCCCAGCTCCTTCTGAACCTTCTGGTCTGGGACTGTGCCTGCCTACCTCCAGCATATCTGGGGCCGTCAGGGGCCTCCCGACCACAAGAACTACCCCCTTAAGGCCTGTCTCGACTTCTAACAGCAGCTGGACTGAAAATCAGAGAAGAGGGACGCTGACAGAAGGGTCCAGAGAGCCAGCAAGGCCCCAGTCCTCAGCTCCCTGCCCCTTGCCCACCATGAGGCATGCACAGCGCGTGGTTGGTGGCCTTGAGGGCCCTGAGCAAGATGAATTTGATAAGGTCCTGGCAAGCATGGAGCTAGAGGAGCCTGGTCTGGAGCTGGAAGTCGAAATTAGCAATGAAGACAAAGGAACGCTGCCCACCTGGCAGAGAGAGGACAAGGTATTCACCAAAAAGGCCCGGAGAACTGAGCTGAGTGTATCTTGCTCAAAAGGGCATCTGCATGCCACACCTGGTGGGCAGCCTCTAAATCCAGTTGTCCACCGCAGAACTCCACAGTGCCATTTGAGACCTGGCGCCCCAGATAACCTACCTGTCCCAGCTGCATCAACAGTCCTCACTCAGCAGTGCCACCGGGGAGTCTGTGCCCAAGGCCCCCCTCTTCAAGCACCCCAGCCTCTCCGAACTGCTGGAGGTCTTGTTCAGTGTAGCCCTCAGAACCCTCTCTCCCGCCAGCCACTGCGGTCTCCGGGTGCCTGGTTAAGTGGCAAACCTCGATTTCCGGGACCACGAACTCCCAGCTCAGGCTGTTCTCTTTCAAGCGTTCACTTGGGATTCTGTCCACGAGGGCATCTGGAACCCCAAGCTCCAGTGACTTCTTTAGAGTCACCTGTTGGTACCCCAAAGGGCCCGCATTCCTCCCTGGCTCCCCAAACAGCTCTGCAGACACCCATCGTCACCAACCACCTGGTACAGCTGGTCAGTGCTGCCAACCGACCGCCTCAGTTGCCCACCCACACCACCACCCGAACCAAGACCCGCCGCTTCCCTGGCCCAGCAGGACTCCTGCCACACCAGGTGAGAGATGATGAAGCCAGAGCTCTCAGGACCTCGGTAAGCATGGGAGAGAAGCCGAGTTCCAGCATTCTCCAGTCCAGTCGTAAGGTGTCTTCACTCCTGGAATACAGGGAGGAAGTGGAGAAGGAAGGATTTTCCAAGCTGAAAAAGAAGTAAAAAAAGGGGGAAGGAAGAATAAAATGCTTAGAAAGCCACATACGACAGAGGTGCCGAAAACGCTGAGGATTTACAGCTTTCCTGTTTGTTAGGTTCCTTCCGACTGTGTGTTAGGCCCTAGGGACAAGAAGAGTCACTCACTTATGTTTGTTAAGGACTTGTCCAGGTTAGGCAGTTTGCTGGGAACTGAGAATGCAGAGATAAAAACAGAAATTTTCCCTGTCGTCGGCTATGTACAGGGTAGTGGAAGATGCAGGAGCCATGACTTGGGTGTTGGGGAGGCACTGACCCTGCCTTGGACTTGCTGAGGGGAACTTGGGTGAATGAATAGGAGGTTAATAGGCAGGGGCAGGCACTGTGTTCTGGGGGACATTTTAGCAGTGGGAAGACAGGGAAGAGCATATGCAAAGACACAGAAGAAGAGCACAAGCTTGGAGAGGCACGGCACAGCTCACTTGGCTAGGGTGGTGGTCACGGTGGGGAAGCTGGGCCTGGAAGAGGGACAAGGCTCTGCTAAGAGTTTGGATGTAAGCAGTGTGGGAAGGACAGGCTCCATCCTTGGGATACCAAACCTATTGTTGTCAAGTTGATTTTGACGCAGTGACCATATAGGACAAAGTGGATCTGCCCTCACAGGATTTCTGAGGTGGGGATCTGAACAGAAGCAGGCTGCCACATCTTCCTCCCTTAGAAAGAAAACAGATTTGAACCACCCACCTTTCAGTTAGCATCTGCACCACCAGGGCTCCTTGGTCTTGGGATAGAAACTCTTGAAGATCTCGGTCTGGCTGTGAGACCAGACCACCCTTATCCACCTCACTGGAACAGAGGGTTTGAGCCCATTTTTGTGAATCCAGGGAGACCACCTATGTTCTTCCTGGGCTGGACCTCCCTACAGAAAAGGGCCAGGCCCTTAGAGGGACTTGGGGAAGCCTCCCCTTGGTTCAATATAGGCCTCTTGTCTAGGTTATCACTCCCTTCAGGCAGCTCGGGGTTTTGCTTCTTGGCCAGCTTCAACTTCCTCACATTCCCAAAACGATCCCCAAAGTGTCTTTTTTGAGCTGCTGACAAGGCTCCTGAGACTTCGTTAGGAGAGATGTAATATGTGTTAATTGTCCCTGATAGTTTCCTGAACTCATTATGTAACCCAGACAAGAAGCTATACTTGTAAATAACAGCTGCTGAGTTTGCTCTCACCTTCCCTTTCTCTCTCCCCTCTTAGCAAAGTGGAAAAAATCTGGAGGAGATCATGGTTTCCATGCCCCAAACTCCAACTCATGGTGCGCTGGCTAAATTCCCAACAGAGGTAACGGACTCCGTGTGAGCGCTCACTTCCTGGGCGTCATTTGGGAGTGAGGACTCTCCCTGAATGTTTCAGGAGTTGCAAAGCAGAGTAGAAACCTGGTCTCTGCTGTCACCCATCAGAGGGCAGTTAGGGGAGGTGGCAATTTTAGTGGCATAAAGTGAGGTCTGTTGGGATGGGAGAACAATTAGGTTTGCATGAGCTAAGTGGGACAGAGGTATAATGATGTATATACAACCTTGGAACAACAGGGCTCTGGGATATAGGGATTGAGGCATGGTTGGAATGGGGAAAAACGGGGAAACAATGTTAAGATGCTTGGCAGTCTTTTGAATCTTGATTTCCCTTGCATACCATTATAAAATAGACACTTGAGGGGGAGAGAAAGGAATAGCCAGAAATATCACCATAGAAAGCTTGTAAGTCCGTCTTCTATCTGTATCTAACTGATTGGAATACCTAAAATGGGGCTACAACGTGCCCAGTGAAGGAGGCTTCCTGTGGAGCCTCTGCATTACATAAGACCATAGGTGGAATCCTGAACCACATCCAGAATCTTCTGAGGTGGGAAATTTCCACTTGAAATGACAAGCCGACCAGCCTGGAGCAGCTAGAAGAACAGAACATACTTCTTAAAAGAAAGACCGACAGGGAAAATACAAAACAACAATGGCAGTCCGACTGTTACTATAAGAACAAGCAGGTTGCTTGCTCAGGAGCCATCAAGAAAAGTAGTCGGGTCCCCTCAGGGCAAACTCCCTTCCAAGACTAAGACTCAATGGGAATACATGAGCAGACATGCGCTCTACTGGTGACCATGTTGGTCACTGATAAGGGGAAGTGAGGGAAAACAGCAATGAAGCTGTGAGCTAAGTCCTACCATGTTCAATAGACCCCTGTGAACCTGGGTGGAGACCTGGTTGGCCAGCAGTATGGCAAGACCTGGGGACTCCTGGGCGCAGAGTCAGTGACATAGCCACAGAGGACTATAGTGGATAGTGAAGCATCCAGCTGATAAGAGAGGGCATATGCACAAGAACACCCACACTTACAGATAATACCCACCTGACCTGGCTTCAATGACTGGACGATCAGAACTCAACTAGAAGAAGAAAGAAGAGGGAAAAAAAGAGTAATCTGATAACAGTTTGATGAACTTGACCTACACTTATGGATGCAGTAGCTTAAAAGAGGGAACAAATCTTTACAGTGAAGATCATTCCCACCCCTTCGATACATAGGGTACACAGGGATGGGCAACTTGGACATTGGCTACCCAGAATTGGGGGGGGCTACAGAGACAAGAAGTGACTGGCTTACAAGCTTTCAAGAGGGAGCCTATATCCAGAGGGCACAGAGGAAGGTAGAATCTCCACTGAGTAGTATCCAATCTTTCTGGGTGGGGCTGATGCAAGGAGATGAGGATAGCACTCATGTGGCACATAGTGTGAATAATTGCTATCATACTAACTGTGAGGGTTGGAAATGTAAAGGTAGACGTTTTGAAGCAAAAGGAGGGGAGTGATTGACTTTGCAGTCCAGGAGCAGAGGTCTCTGGGACCATCAAGGGACAAGAGCAGAGTGCGGGACCCTACCCAGAGAAACAGTGACACCAGAAATGGAGGCAGAGACAATGATGTGGAGAGGTGGAACAGCTGGGAACTCTAGACCCAGAGAGGGAGAGGGGCTGTGTGCAGGCTTACAGAGTATACTCTTTGGTTAGTTGATGATGCATGGAGGGGACTGTAACCATGGCAATGAAACGATATATGATATAGGATGAATGTAAAGCTAGTGTTCTCCCATGTAAACGATCACATAATTCACAATAAAAATTTTTTTTTTTTTTTAAAGTGACGCCTGTTCTGATGTTGGACTCCTGGTGTGGCGCTGTAGGATCTGCACTGGACTTTAAACCATAAAGTCAGCAGTTCATATCCACCAGCTGCTCCTTGGAAACCCTATACAGGGTCACTATGAGTCAGAACCAACTTGATGACCCTTACAATAGCAACAACAATTGTGATGCTAGCCAGACCCTGAACAATGCCATGGATCTAAGCTCCTTCTTCCCATAGAGGAGGAAAGGGTACCTTCTTGGGCTCTGGGAGCTCAGCTGGGAAGGCCCTGACTTCATTTTGCCTCCACTGTTTTCTTTTGGTGGGGTAGGATGCATCCTTCCTCCTCCCTGGGATTCTTTCTGAAGTGCTCTGTCGTCAGACTCAATTTTGTTTTTTCTGTTTGCCAGAGCACCCCAAATCTATCAGTCCATTTTAGAACCAAAGCGGTAAATGTCCACCTGGATTCAAAGTATTTAGTAATGTAAGATAATTAATGATTGTTGTTAAGTGCCGTCAAGTGCATTCCAACCCATAGTGACTCTGAATAAGATTTCCACGGAGCAGCTGGTGAGCTTGAACCACCAATCTTGTGGCTCCAACCAAGTTTACACTCCAGCGCATTAACCCATAGTGTGTCCCTTTGGTGGGTGATATGAGTTAGGGTTAGGACTATAGCTAGGTCTAGGCTAGGCCTGAGACTTTAGTGTTAGAATTCTGGTTAGGGCTAGGGCTGGTGTTAGCAGTAGGGAGTTGGGCTAGGACTAGGAGTAAGGCATGGTTTCATTTTAGTGTTACAGTTAGGTTTCTTTTTATTTTACTTTTTTGCTTGAAATCTACTTGATTATAACTACATTATTCCTTCTTTTAATTTTTCTTTTTTTGTTTTTTTGCTGCTGTTGTTGCAAACTGGTATCTTTGGTTCCCTATTTTCAGTCTTGTTGGTTTGCTTTCTTTTGAATATTTCTACATCTGGATTGAGTTCAGGGAGATATTGTCATGGATGATGTCTCAGATTGTTATCTGGTATTGTTGGTTCTCTGTCCAAAGAACTCCCTTTAGCATTTTTTAGTAAGGTTTTTAAAATTCCTGTTCAAATTTTGGAAATGTCCTAATTTCATCATCATATTTGGTGGATATTTTGCTGGGTATATGGTTCTTGGTTGGCAATTTTTTTCTTTCACAGTTTTATGTATGTTATCCCATTGTCGTCTTGTCTGCATGGGCTCTGCTGAGAAATCAGAGCTTAGTCTTGGTAGTTCTCCTTTGTGAGTAACTTTTAGTTGCGCTCAGAATGTTTTCCTTGTCTTTGGGTTTGAAAAATTTGACTGTAGTAAGTTTTGGTGATTGTCTTTTGATGTTTGGAGTTGGTTTATGATGTCTTGAATGCCTGTCTTCTCACCTGTCATGAGGGAAGTTTTCTTCCATCAATTCTTAGATCATTTTCTCTGTTTTTTGTTTTTGTTTTTTGTCACTTCCTGTTCTGGATTTTCAGTTACACCTAAGTTATTCCTCTTTATAGGGTCCCAAATAAATCTTAGGCTTTCTTTGGAGTTTTAAATTCTTTTTTTTTAAATTGTTTCTCTGTTGTTTTAAGTACCTTTAAGTCTGTTCCAACTCATAGCAACCCTATATAGAGTTTCCAAGGAGCAGCTGTTGAATTTGAACCACCAACATTGTGATTCAGACCAACCTTGTAGTCCAGTGCTTATCTTACAGCGCCACACTTCTAGGAGGCTAATATTGAGAGATTTGTCTTCAAGCTCAGTAATTCAGGCTTCCATTGATTCAATTGTACTTCTTTCTTCTTTGCCCTTTCAATGCACTATTTCTAATTCTTAGTCTTGATGTTCTGGTTCTAATTGCAGTTTTTGTGTATTGTTTACTATTTTTCATTCCTTTTGTCAGTTCTTATAGTGTTTTCTTGAATTCTAAATTTTTTTGTATGTTCTTCTTGCTTTCCTTGATCTTTTTCTTAATCCACTAAGGGTGTCTAAGTAGCATTCTTTTAAACTCCTAATCAAACGGGGTTTTTAAAAATGTTTTATTGTGAATTATGTGATGGTTTACATGAGAGAATGTTAGTTTTACATTCATCTTATCGTGTATCGTTTCATTGCCATGGTTACAATCCCTCCATGCATCATCAACCAACCAAAGAGTATACCCTGCAATCCTGCTCGCCAGTCGTCAGCACACAGCTCCTCTCCCTCTCTGGGTCTAAAGTCCCCAGCCACTCCATCTCTCCACGTCATTATCTCTGCCTCCATCTCTGGCGTCACTGCTTCTCTGGGTAGGGTCCCGCTCTCTACTCTTCTCCCTTGATGCTCCCAGGGACCTCCGCTCCTACACTGCAAAGTCAAATCACTCCCCTCCTTTTGCTACAATGCGTCTACCTTTACATTTCCAACCCTCACAATCAGTCCTGATAACAATTTTTCACTACTGTATCACAAGAGACCTAGCCACATTGCATTTCCTTTCATCAGCCCCACCTAGACAGATTGGATTCTACTCAGTGGAGATTCTACCTTCCTCCATGCCCTCTGGATCTAGGTTCCCTCTTGAAAGCTGGTAAGCCAGTCACTTCTTGCCTTTGTAGCCCCCCATTTTGGGTAGCCAATGTCCAAGTTGCCCATCCCTGTCTACTCTTGTGTATGGAGGTGTTGAGAATGATCCTTGCTGTAAAAATTTGTCCCCTCTTTCGAGCTACTGCATCCATAAGTAATGGTCAAGTTCATCAAATTGTATCAGATTACTCTTTTTTTCCCTCTTCTTTCTTCTTCTAGTTGAGCTCTGATAATCTAGTCATTGAAGCCAGGTCAAGTGGGTATAATCTGCAGTGTGGGTGATCTTGTGCATATGCCCTCTCTTCTTATCAGCTGGATGCTTCGCTCTTCATGCTAGTCCTCTGTGGCTATGTCACTGACTCCAGGCCCAAGAGTCCCCAGGTCTTGCCACACTGCTGGCCAACCAGGTCTCCACCTGCGTTCACAGGAGTCTATTGAATGTTGTAGGTTTAGCTCTCAGCTTCATTGCTGTTTTTCTCTCACTTCCCCTTATCAGTGACCAACGTGGTCACCAATCAGAGTGTGTATTCCCATTAAGACTTAGTCTTGGAAGGGGTTTTGCTCTGAGGGGACCCGACCACTTGCCTTGATATCTCCTGGGCGAGCAACTTGCTTTTTCTTGTAGTAATCAGTTGGGCTGCCTATATTGTTTAGTATTTTTCCTGTTGACCTTTCTTTCAAGAAGTATCTTCTGTTCTTCTAGCCACTCTAGGCTGGTCTGCTTTTTTAAAAAAATGTTATTGTCAATTGAGTGCTAGTTGACATGGGAATATATCAATTTTACACTCATCATTTCATTGCAATGATTGCAGCATTATTCAACAGTATTTGCTTCTATTCCCTGTGTTGTTTTTTTGGGGGGTGGAGGTGGGGATGTACACAAAAACACTCAGGAATATATCATCATTTAAACAACTGAAGGGCACATTCTACTCTACAAGCCTGCCTTCTGGCCACCAGCACCTCGTCGCCAGCACACAGCCTTTCTCTTCCCATTAGTCTAGAGTCCTCAGCTGCTCTCTCTCTCCACATCCTCATCTTTGTCTCCATCTCTGGTGTCTGCTTCTCTGGAGAGGGTCCCACATTCCGCTCGTGCTCTTCTCTCTTGATGGTCCTAGGGTCCTCTGTTCCTGGACTGTAAGATTAACTACTCCCCTCTTTTTCTTACAAACCTTCTACCTTTACAGTTGGGACAGTCGCAATTAGTCATGATAACAATTATTATTGAATCATAAGAATCTTCTCTCCATGTCTTTCACCAGACCCATCTAGACAAGATGAAAACTATTCAGTGGGGATTCTACCTTCTCCCAGCACACTCTGAAACTAAACTCCCTCTTGAAAACTTGTAAGCCAGTTACTGTGTGCCTTGTAACCCCACCATTTTAGGTAGTCAATGTCTAAGTTGCCTGTGCCATCAACTCTGTACACAGAGGGGATAGGATTGATCTTTGATGTGAAGATTCCGTCTCTCTGAGTTGGTATTTTGAGCGACTACATCCTTTCTGATATTTTCTGACTCTGTATTTTGGTCACTGTTTGAGACACTCTGTCTTGTTTCTTCCTGTAAGCTCAAAACGTCTGTTTTCTCCAAGACATTGTGGTAGTGTATATGTATTAACTGATGATTGTATGTCGTGTTCTCTCAGGCCCTCACCACCTATCTCCTGGTGGATGTGATAGAGACCGAAGTGTGACTGCAGTTCTCCATTCTCTGTGTGGCATAGCTCAGGGCAGGTTCACGGGCCAAGGCTGTGTAGGAGGGACTGCCATAGGCTACTGGGTTGGCAAAGACAGTGACTGGACACGCCCCCAGCTACCAAGAAGGAATGGAACAAGGGAGAAGGGCACCCCCTTGGCACCATCCTCCAGCCATGTCCTGTACCTGCAGGCCACTGTATGCACAGCCCCTCTCAAAAGCTTCAGATGGCTGTGCTGCTCCACACCATCTCATAGCCTGCCTGTTTAAGATGGCCGTGCCGCTCCACGCCAGCTCATAGCCTGTCTGTTTAAGATGGCCATGCCGTTCCATGCCAGCTCATAGCCTGCCTGTTTAAGATGGCCATGCCGCGCCACGCCATCTCATAGCCTGCCTGTTTAAGATGGCCGTGCCGCTCCACGCCAGCTTATAGCCTGCCTGTTTTCTCTCTTCCCTGCTCCTATTCAGCTTCCTCTTCCAGCCGGCACTCAGTCCACCTCTCTGTTCTGTCCTCTGAAGCTCAGGGTCCCAGGACCACCATGTATACTGTTTCATTCGGTCTCCCATGACTTTGTTGTAGAGGGTCTGCTCAGTGTGGCTGCCTACTCTGCCATCTTACCACAGAAGTCCCTTTTTTTTCATAACAACCTTTCCTATAGTCGCTTAGTAAAAGAAGTGATAGGCAACAAGACATCACCTACGATGTTCTGGGTTTGGTGCTAAATAAGAGGAGGAACCGTGGTCCCCGGTCACCCTGCCCTCCTGTCTCAGTTGGGGGCTGTAGCCCATTAAAACAGGTTCCCCTCTGCTCTGGTACCAGATTGTCGCTAGTTCCCAGACATCGGTAGAGGAGGATTTTGGGCGAGGACCCTGGCTGAGCATGAAATCGTCTCTGGGCTTGGATGAGAGAGACCCCAGCTGTTTCCTCTGTACATGCAGTATCATCATGGTGTTGCGGAAGGTAAGGGCCATGGGACCATTTCTCTTCCTGTCTCCAGCCAATGCCCACCTTCAGAAGGGAGCCATCTCTCTGTCCCTCTGACTGTGTCTTCACTTCCCTGCCATCTACAGTGCTGGGCAAGAGAGGGGGCATATGGGTGTATCTATACACTTCTGGGCCCCTGAGTTGGGGAGGTAAGCACACTGCTGCCCTTTTAGCTCCCAGTGGTTCCAAGCCTGGTGCAGACACTTGCCGGGCCATGTGCTAACGTAGCCCTGCCTGGGGTCTGTGTGGTGTAGTGCTGCATGGATATGGAGACACAAAAAAGGAGTCAGGGGAGCAGTCAGGGACTTGTTAGCTTCAGCTCTGCCAAAAAGAGATGGAATGATCCCATAAACTGCACCTACGTAGAGCGTCCCCTTTGCTTTCCACAAAGGAAGATCACCACCCTTCCACCCCCTGGTTGTCTGGTACATCTAGAAACTTGGGAAATTACAAGTGGTCCCTGGCTGGCTCAGCAAATGTCTCTCCTTATAAACAGGCTGCCCTAAAGCAGTTGCCCAGGAACAAGGTCCCCAACATGGCGGTGATGATCAAGTCCCTGACTCGGAGTGCAATGGACGCCAGCGTGGTTTTCAGGGACCCCACAGGTGAGGAGTTTGGTCCTGGGGAGTGTCTGATGGGTGCTCCCTGTTGAGATGAGGTGAGGGAGGGGTTCACCCTCTCCACTGGCAGCCTGGAAAATGGAGGCAGTACTCAGCCCACTTCCCAGCCAGACCCCAGACCAACCTCTGTGCTGCCTGGACCCACCACTTTCCTATAGTTGCTTAGTAAGAGGTCCCTGTGGTGTTTGCAGGGGAGATGCAGGGCACGGTGCACAGGGCGCTGCTGGAGACCCGCCCAAATGAGCTGAAGCCAGGCTCAGTGCTGCTGCTGAAGCAGGTAGGAGAGCCCCTTCCCTGTCGGGCTGCCTGCCCTAAGACCAGGCAACGAGTGACTGGAGCCAAGGCAAGGTGCATTGGCAGCCCCTACTGTTCCAGCAGGGCACTGACCCACACCTTCCTCTACTCCAGATTGGAGTCTTTTCCCCTTCACTCCGGAATCACTACCTCAATGTGACACCCAGCAACCTGGTCCATATTTACAGCTCCGATTCTGCGGACACGAACCTCAGGCCATCTCAGCCCTTCCCCCAGGTAAGGGGGGCGGGGTAAGATGAGATGGGAACTGATGGTGCTCTCTCTCCCCTGGACTTTGGACTACTTCCCCTCCTCCACCTTGGGGAGTAGAGGTGTGAGGGAGGCAGTTGCTCAGGGGTGAAGAAGCACCTTTGAGGACAGGGCTGCTTCCTCCTGTCCCTGGCCCAGACAGTTTGTAGAGGAGCAGCTGGCTTCTTGGCGATCCCTGTGTCCCATGGCAGCCTTGAGCATCTGAGGAGTTAGGAGTCACTTGAGAACTAATAAAGTTGAGGGTCCACAGTGGGGTGGGAAATGACTGCAGTGACAGAGAACGGTGAGCTCCAGATGACCTGTCAGGTGAACCAGTACTCGCTCTGCACCTTCTTTCCTGACCTCCACCTGTGCTAGGTAACAGGAACCCCACCCAGAACTTGGGGGGATACCTCTTTTGGGAACTGAGGTGAGCATTTGTGATCTGTGTGAGTTGAATGGGCTTCCAGCCAGGGTGAAGGTGTACAGCTTGGCCTTTCTTGGCACGTGGCATCACCTCTGTGGCCACACCTGCCCTTCCTGGGATCTGGGAGTATTGTCATCGCCTGGCCTGGGGCTCAGGACCTGGGTCTTAGCCGATAATCTGTACTATGTCCTTGGGCAAGCCTGGTCCCCTCCCCTGCTGTTGCATTATCTAGGAAATGAGGTTAGGCTTGGTAACCTCTGGGAACCCTTGAGCTCTGCCTTTCTACTTCTCTTTCTCTCATTTTCCCCTTCTGCTCCATGTCCTCTCCAAAGTATGTCACCTCCCAACTTCTTTAAATTTCAAGTCATCCATACTCATTGGGCAAAACTGAAATGGAGCAAAACAAAGTAAAAGTGACAACTCACCCTTCCCCACTCCAGCCCCTACAGCAGGGGTGGGCTGTGTAAGGCCCACAAAATCATTTGGTCTGGCCCTGCCGAGGCAACTGCAGTTCCAGCCATTACATTCAGGGTGAATTAATGATATAAGTTTGAGTAATTATAGCAGGCTAATTTTTAAGTTGATATTTTCGTATGGCCCACAAATGACGTTATAAATATCCAAGTGGCAGGAAAAAGGTTCCCCACCTCTGGTCTACTGCTACACATGATTAACAGTCTAGTTACCAGTTTTCATTACCTGCTCATATGTTACCTGTTTATGGGATTTCTAAAGCTTTAAATCTTCGTGGCAACAGAAAGCCTCATCTTTCACCTAAGGTGCAGTTGGTGCGTTCAAACTGTAGACCTTGTGATCCGCAGTCCAGTGTTTATCGTATGGAGTTGGCAGATGATTTTTAGTCCCTGGCCAACACAACACATTCCTGAATGAGCTCTTCACTTTAGCCCAGTTAAATGCATTCCATAAAACATTAGATACAAACAGAATTAGGAAAGAAAATCCTCCAAACATTCTGTTACTGAATTACCTGCTGTTTTGGATGTTCAGTGTTTGGCTCCCTCCTCTCAGCAGGGGCTGACAGCTGGCTGGTCCCTGTCCCACTCCTTCACTGTGTCTCTTTCCTGAGCTATCCACCTTTGTCCTCTGAGGTGGTCTGGGTGAAGGCGGTACCATCAAGGGATTTCAGAGGCTCAGGCATTGGTAATCCGGATCCTCTACCTGCAGGATTTAGGAAGCTTCCATGGCAGCCCCCAGCATGATGTGGATGCCAAGTCTGAGGTGGGCCTTAGACCACCACAGAACCCGGAGGTCGGGACACCCCTCGAGGAAGAGCTCTCGGGAGCAGGTGAGGCAGTCAAGTCCTCCGGGAGCTAGAAAGGCTTTCCCTCTTTGTCACATTTTATTTATTGTGTTTTTTGTGAACGTTTACACAGCAAATTAGGCTCCCATGTGCTAATTTCCATACAGATGGGTCAATGACATTAGCTACATTTTTCACAGTGTGTCCACATTTTCTTTCATTGTGTCTGGTTGTTCCATTTCCAGTACTCTAGTGTACCTGCCCCCTCCCTTCACATCTTCACATCTGTACTTTGGATACAATGTTGATCTTTTGAACTCATAACCAAAAAAAACCCCAAACAAACGAACCCATTACCATCAGGTCAGAGACTCTTCCATGTGAGAATGTTGTTATTAAGTGCTAACAATTTGGTGCCGGCTCATAGCAATCTGTATAGGGTTTTCAAGGAGTGGCTGGTGGGTTTGAATCACCGAGTTTGCAGCTAGCTGTTCAGTGCTTATCCTACAGCGCCATACCAGGACTTCTTACATGTGATAGGGTCCACATAAAGCACATACACATGAGATCCACAGGGCTCCCCAATTTCTAGATCATGTGCTATTAGCCACCAAATGAATAGGCACTGTCTTTATGCCCTCCTTGGAGTCTTCTGGGGGCCGATCACCAGAACACAAGGCAGATTTCCCTATCCTGATTAAGCTCAGAGGCCCTTTAGGGAGGAGACCAAACCAGGTTATTACCATCTTGGGGACAAGCCAACTGATTGCTCAGGAGGTAACATCACCCAGATGATGACCATAGTCCTTCAGTGCTTTAATTCCAGTATTGTGGCTCCCAAGTTCATGGCATTATAGGGGTTAAAGGGCTTCTCACACGAAACAAATTCACAGTAGACCAGTGGATAAACCAGAAAGCTGATTTGCTTGTATCCTATGAAAAAGTATCTGCCCCTAATGCTGGAATTTTGCATTGTCTGGGAACTTGCACTCTCTTTGTAAATAAACTTGCTGACAAGCCAAATCATCTTCAGAAGATTGCTGGCAGTCATGGGGTAGCCTTCTGGTGGAATTAGCTGCTGTAGTGTATTCGCATCCACTATAGGGACAGCTCCTGGTGTGGCACTGTAGGAATAAGCACTAGACTGCTAACCACGAGGTTGGCAGTTTAAACCCCCCAGGCGATCCTTGGAAACCCTATAAAGGGTCATTATGAGTCAGGACCATCTTGATGGTACTTAACAACATGGGGATGGATCTGCCAAACAGGCAAACTGCTAGCAGTGACTTCCTTCTATGGCTTCCTGATGCCATCCATTCAGTGAATGTTTTGTAGTTGGAAACAGTGGCTCTGAGAGTCCAATGGAGTGTGAGTGTGCTTACCTGGGGCAAGTGGTTTTTCCTCTTTAAGCCCTGTTCATTCCGGTCAAGTGGGTATTACAACAGGAACTACCATTGTAAACTTCGTAGTAAGTTAAGGGACTTAATAAATGAACAGTGTAATGTTCTTGGAGTCCTGGTGTGGTGCTGTAGGAGAAGCTCTGGACTGCAAGGTCGATTTGAACTGGAAGGTCAGTGGTTCAAACCTACCAACCACTCCTTGGAAACCCTGACCAGCATTGCCGTGAGTTGGAACCAACTTAATGGCACTTAACAATAACAACAACGTGCTGTGCTTGGCCCTGTACTGTTGTTAACATATTAGCAACAGCGATTACGGGGGACCAGCTCTATTTCCAAATCGCAGACGTGACCCCTTATCTGAGAGCTGTAGGCAGGGACAGGGCAGGGACAGTTACTCTACGTCCTTATGCCCACACCAGCATGTTGGAACAGGGGGTAATGTCTCCCACATTTCAGATGAGAATCGGTTTAATGAACTGTGGTTCTGAACACAATTAATGGCTTTTCCCGGCCCTGTTTCTCCTTCCATCAAAGAGAGCGCTGTCTTAGTGGCTGTTGAAGCCTTCTAGCTCAGGCACTGTGCTTCTGGGTGGAAATAGAACTATTGAGGCCCAGGGGACTGCTCTTTCGCAGAATGGCCTGAGGATTATGCCTCTGCCTTTAGTTGTGTATTGGGTATATGGGAAGCAGAGGGAAACTGGAAGGCAAGCCAACATCAGGCTTGTTAGGATGGACCCCATTGCTCAGGGAGAGCCACCTTACCAGCTCTACACCTAAGCACAGGCCTTTCTGCGAGGCCGGAGCTGAATCATGTGAAGCCCTAATGTTGGCACTAACCCCCACCCCCACCCCGCTCCCTCTGCAGATGACCTGGATGGACTTCTGAGTGAGCTCCCTGAGGACTTCTTCTCTGGGACCAGTAGTTGGGACTGCCCCAAGGCAGGGCACCCGCCTTGAGCAGGCAGCCTCTCAGTGCCCAGGCAAAGCTTGGGATGTGTCTGATCATGTCGGAGAGAAGATGACCAGCGAGACTGGAGAATACGCCAAGAGTGGGGCTGCTCTGGTTGCTCCCACACTGGCAGCTTCCCTGAGACCGCCCTGCCCTGCTCTCCAGGATTCAGCACTGCCATCCTGTTGTGACTTCATTGGCATTCCGGAGCTTGGCCCAAGACGGGCTTTCCAGTCCTCTGGTGCATTTGTCCTTCTCCTGCCAACAGGAAAAGTCTGTCACCTCCAGTGTTCCTCTCCCTGCCTCTACTTGACTTCAGGGACTTTGGATATCATGTCCTCATCCTTCTACTCCCTAGCCCCTGGACAGCTGAGTAGCAGAGAGGAGCCAGACCACAGCAGTGGCAGCCTGTCCCTTCTGACTAGGAAAGGCCCCACTCAGACTTGCCTTTGCTTTGTCTTGTGAGGCCCATAGCTGCCCAGGCTGCCCAGGGCCAGGGGTGTGGGCTGCTGTGTCTTGTTCTGAAATAAAGCAGCCTTGCTTCACCTGCCTCTCCTTCCTTTCCACTCTGTCGGGGGGCCCAGGGCAGAGCAGGGCTTAGGCAGAGGCACAGGCCAGGGCACAGCCAAGCAGTTCTTTTTTTTTTATAAATAAACTTTCTATTTAGACAAGTTTAGATTTACAGAAGAAGGGAATAGTTATAGTGCCCATCTATCCCATATCCAACTTGCCCTATTAGCATTTTACGCTCCTGTGACGTACTGGTATGCTGTGGGTTAACGTGCTGCACTGTAAGATCAGTTTGAACCGCAAGGGCAGTGGTTCAAGCTCACCAGTCGCTCCTAGGAAACCCTATACAGGGTCGCTATGAATCAGAACAGATTCAATTCAACAGCACTGAACAACAGCGGTACATTAGTCATGATGAATGGACCAGTATGGATGCATAATTATTAACCAAAGTCCCTGCTTTATATTTCCTCAGTTCCCTAATGTCTTTTTTTCTGTCCCAGGAACCCAGCCAGGATAGTACAGATATTTAGTTGTCATGTCTCCCTAGGCTCCTCTTGGCTGGGGAACGCTTTCTGAGGCTTTGTTTAAGTGACTGGCAGCTTGGAGAACCAGGCAGGATATTGTAAGGTTTCCCTCTACTGAACTTTGATGTTTTTGATCATTAGAGTGGGTGATGGTTTGGGGAAGACAGCACAGAGAACGTGTCATTCTCAGGTGTACATATTAATCAGCCTGCCATCACTTTTGATGATGACCTTGACTGCTGACAGCTAGTATTGGTCAGGTCTCCACTGGAAAGTTACCCACCCCCCTTCCTCTTTGGGAAGAAGCCATCTGAGTAGTCCACACTTACGGATTGGGAATTAATGGTCCAACTCCTTAAGAATGGCATATCTATATAAATAACTTGGAATTCTTGGGAGTTTTGTCAATCTTCTTGTTTATTTATATCAGTATGGACTTAAAGATATTTTGTTACACTTTGGGCTGTTTTGTTGCCAAGGAACTCTTCATCACTGTACCACCTTTCAAATCCAGGTTGGGACAAGGGTCATGGGTAGGGTGTAATAGGTCCAATTTTACCAAGTTGCCAACATCCCTAGTGTGACTGCCAGCCTTCTCTGCCTCTTGGTCTCAGCCTTCACTAAACAAATGAGAGCTGGGGGCCTCCTGTGGGCTCCACATTGCAAGGGTGTGTGTATGTGGGTGTGTGGGTGTGTGGCTGCAATGTATTAAACTCCCTTTCCCAAAGAGAAGTTAATTCCATGGATCCCAGTCTTAGGCTGAAGTGAGCTGTAAGAACTCCATACTCAGCTGGCTGCTGATCCCACTTGGATGCTTTTCTAGAAAGCTTTTGTGCTCCTAGACCAGGAGCCCTTTGCACTCCCATTTGGTCTGCTTGCCTGAGCAGACTGCACTTCTTACCCACCTCCCTTCCTCCCCCACTCTCTCCCCAGCTCTGCCTTGATGCTGTAGATATGGGCCAGAGCCCCCTAGTGTATGTGGTCTTTCTGTACCTAGCCCACTCTGTACCTCTGGCTGCAGTACCCTCTCCCTGGCTGGGCCCCTGAGCTCTGATCTCCACTGCTCACAATCTTGGTTGATCCCACAAATGCTTTATGTCCTGCTCTCCTTGTATTGTGCTTCTTAGCCCATAAACTCTGAGTTCCCAGAAGACAAACTGGGTGCTGGACGTCTAATTGCCAGGTACTGACTGTTCCCTCCAAGAGAACTCTGGGCTCTCTGTGGGCCATGGGTGGATTGAACTAAAGGCCGTTTTCTGCCTTCGGAAAGCTAACGTTAAGGATGAGGAAACAGAACACACGATCGTGGGACAGCTGTCCTTAGCACCTCCCCATCTATTTGGCAAGGAGGTGGGAGAGATGCTGGGGAGGTCAGCATAACTGGAGGCCCAAGTGCCATGACTACTGTGTGCCTCAGAGGGGAAAGGGACGCCTACCCCACCTTGCCAGGCTCCCAATCCTGGGAACTCAGCTGTGGGTGCTCAGTCAGGCCGTTGGCGGGGCAATTAAAACACCGAATGGGTTCCAACAGGGTTAATCACAGCTCCATTTATAGAGAAGCCTTTCTCTAAGGATCTCTGTTTTAGTTCTCCAGAGCTGCTATAACAGAAATACCACAAGTGGGTGGCGCTAACAAACAAATGCAGTTTCTCACAGTTCAGGAGGCTACAAGTCCAAATCAACGGTGCCTGCTCTAGAGAATGCCCTTTTCTCCCTTTTGTCTTTATAAGAAGAGCTCTGGTTTCTAAGCTTGTACTCCTGGGCAATCTTAATGTGGCTTGGCCTCTCTTCTCTCATCTCTTCCTGGCTTGCTCATTTAATCTCTTTTTATCTCAAAAGAGATTGACTCAAAACACACCTTACACTAATTCAGTCTCATAATCACAACAAAGACAGCCCCTTCCCAAATGAGATTATAATCATAGGCATAGAGTTTAGAATTTACTTTTTTTTTTTGAGGGCACAGTTCAATCCATACCAATCTTCAAGTCCTTGGTGGGCATGATCTCATTTCTCCTCTGGGATCCCGCACCCTGGGATATAATGAGGTAGCTGGGGCCAGGCAGAGAATGGGAGAACTGCAGTGTAAGGGCTGTGCCACCCACTTGGGCAGACGGATGGCTGTTTGTTCTGGCAGAGATCAGAAACCTTCATTCAGTGCATTAGACCTGAAAGGTTGGCCTGATATGAGCTAAGTGTTCCCAATAACGCATCCTGACCTACTATGTGCCAGGTCCAGAAACACAACTGAATAAATTCCATCCTATTCTGGAGCCCTTTGGGGAGCACAGACTGAGAAGTGGCTAGAACACTAGGGACAGAGGTTAGGGTTGCTGTAGGGATGTCTCCACAGAGCAGGTAACTCATGAGATACACTTTGAGAAAGAAGTCAAAGGGTTATTCCAAGCAGAGGGAAAGGTCCTGAGGAGGAATGGTGAGCAGTGGAATGGGGGTTTAGCTGGAGGGGCAGGTGAAGGAAGTCAGACATTTTCAAACAATGGAATGATCTGTTTTAGACATTCTGGTAGTACATCTTGTGGAAGGAACAGGTAAGAAAGTTCGAGGGCCTGAACTTCCAACCGTGGCTGAAAACATGAGAGCAGGATCTAGAATTTGTTTCTATGAGGGAACCTGGGACACAGAGAGAGGAAGTCAGAGTGAGCCGAGCTGGGGGCTGCTGCAAGGCCAAAGAGAGGAGAAAATGTTCTGTCTTAGGGGACAGATGAGCCAAGACCAGCAAGCAGACAGGCTGGGCTTGACCGACAGACCCTGAGTGACAGAGATTAAGGGGTTGGTTACCACACACCTAGCTTCTCGATTAGGAAAACTTCTGAGGACAGGGGCTCGTCCTTCCCTCTTTTCCCTGCGGGGTAGCTACACAAAGCTGCTTCCAGGCTTCAGCCCAGTGCAGTTTCACGGCCTCATTCCTCCCCCTAGAGGCTCAGAGAAGTAAAGTCACTTTCTCCTACAGGTGGAAGGGTTTGTGGTTCCCAGGCCCTTGGTCAGAGCTTCCAGTGTGGTGAAATCAATCCCTTGGCCCTCCTCGGCAGAGATGTGAGCTACCTTAAGAGCTGGGTTACATTTTCCCCCCAAGATTCAGAGAGCGTATTTTCTAGAGACCAGGCTGTCCAGCGTGAGGGTGAGGGAGCAGAGCACTAACAGATGTCTTTTTGGCTCAGGTGGTGGTTATAGCAGCTGGCAGGAAGAGAGCCACCTATGAGGTCTAGCTGACTGGGATCCTAGTTCTGGCTCTGCCCCTCATTGGCTATGTGATCTTGACCTTAAGTTCCTCTTGTGTAAATCATCTCAAAAGTGTTGAACTGTGTTGTGAGACATCCCCTGACCATATAACTTACTGTCCAAACTAAATGTATCTTTTCTGAGGCAAACTGGGAAGTATGAAGGGACTTCAAAAAGTATGTGGGAAAATTCCATTACTTTTGTATTCCATTTTTCCACAAACTTTCTGAAGTCTTCTTGTTTGTTCAGATGTCTGTAAAGATGGATATGAACACAATTTGAATATTGTAAAGTTCTTGTACACATTACTGCGGATGCCTTGATAAACTGTTCTGCTCCTTACTTCCTGCCCCATGAGTCAATACCAGAGTGTCAGGAGGACCCTGGCCTGCTTACCTCCCTGATTGACTCACATTGTCAACCAGAGATGCTCCCCCACAGAAGTAGAAGAATGGGGGCTTGGGAGCCCAGGGGGCCCAATCAAAGAGTACCAGCAGGAACAGAGACAGACTGGCCCCAGCCCTAAGCTGGGGATTGGCTCAGCACCTTCTCTGCACTAGGATCATAACTCTGAGCAAACTGTTTACCAAAAAAGCAGAGGGGCCTATTTATAGCCCCAGCTGCTCTTCTGTCTGGCTCACTGGTAAGGAGACAGGGTGTCTCTTCAGAGCAAGAGTAGTGGCTGGGCTGAGGGAACCTGGCTCTGCCCAGGCCCCCTGTCCAGACCCCAGTGCCTCTCCACATGGCGGGGGAGATCTTTCCCTTTACTTCCTCCACCACACAGCGCTCTCTTCGTCTGCAGCGAGAGTGGCTGGACTGGGAAGACCAGAGAAGGAGACGGGTTGTGGCCCAGCAGTGCCTGAGCCACAGGTGCCCCCGCAGCCCCAGGGCCCAACTCACTAGGCCTCGATGCTCCTGCCGAGACCCAGCTGTCCACAATGCCTTGTTCTCCGGAGACCTGAAGCAGGTCCAAGCCCTGTTCCAAGATGAAGAGGCAGCCAACATGATTATGGAGACTGTGAGCAACCAGCTGGCCTGGTCAGCAGAACAGGGTAGGGAGCAAGGGATGGGGGGCAGGGAAACAGAAGAGAAGGGAGAGAGAGGAGCAATGGAGGGGGAGCATTTAGGTACCACCCCCATTCCAGACCATAGCCCTGACCACCCCTTTCCACCACCCATTTGACTCCCTCCTAAACAGAATGAGGTAGTTTCACAGTGCTATGTCTTTTCAGAATTAAAATTGTTTTTCTAACTCTAACTATAAAAATCATACTCACACACTATTGAAAGTAACAGGTGAAATTCCAACACAATTTTTTTCTGCATATCTCACATAGCAACACAGGAATGAATATTTTTCTTTTATAGAATGAGATGCTCCACTTTCCGTTACATAACCTGCTTTTTTGCATGTGATATCTTTCTATGTCAACAACTGTGTTGTTGTTAAGTGTCATTGAGTCAGTTCCAACTCATAGCAACCCTTCCAAGGAGTGGCTGGTGAGTTTGAACTGCCAACCTTGTGATTCAAAAGACGTTTCGGCCCAGTGCTTGTCCTACAGCACCACACCACGACTCTTGTCAATAACTATAGCCCACATCCTATTTTAAATAGGTGTGAAAATTCTACTATATGCATGTAGCATGATTTCTTTTAGTAACCCTAAGTACATTGGATGCCATTTTTTTTTTAATGATTTTAAGTAATAATATGACGAACAGCTTTATGTATTTGTGTACAAATCACAGGGTTTCCACACGTAAGCCGAATATATAAACTGAGGCACCCATGCTATTAAGATCATTAGGAGATTGCCTGAACCCCCATCATAGATTTTGAGGCTGAAAATCCTTGGGAGAATTTATGCTCTCATAGTCACCAACCAGTAAACCAGCTGTCATGGGATTAGAGGAACTCCTGGTAATGAGAATTGTGCTCCATAGGGCTTCCAATGGCTAATTTTTTAGAAGCCATGCCTTTCTTCTGAGGTGCCTCTGGGTGGATTCAAGTCTCCAACTGTTCCATTAGCAGGCCAGGGAGTGCTAACAGTCCACACCACCAGGCTCAAATTTCTGGCTTTGCTACAGCAGCTCAGTTTGGGACTGTGACCCTATTCATGGCATCCTGATCTTGTATGCAGCATGTCTGTCAGCCCCAAAAGGAACCTCATCTTAATTTCAACCTAAAAACAAAACCAAGCTTTATTTAAGATTTAGGAAAATCAGATTTACTTTGCCAAAATACAGTTTACAATTTGATATTAGGCATACTGGTGTGGCACTGCAAGGTTGGTGTTCAGAACTACCAGCTACTCCTTGGAAACCCTATTATTGTTAAGTGTCATTGAGCTGGTTCCGACCCATAGTGACCCTGTATAGGGTTTCTGAGAACTGGCTGGTGAGTTTGAACCACTGACCTTGCAGTTCAAATCAATCTTGTGGCCCAGTGGGTGTACAGGTTGCTATGAGTTGGAACCCATTTGATGGCACTTGACAACAACAACATGACCTTGAAGTGAGTTGTGACCACTCCACAATTCAAGGTCTAATCTCAGTCCTGTCAATCAACCTCTCCCTACTTCTCTTCCCCCTCTTCTCTTCTCCCCTCTTCTCTTCCTCTCTCCCTACTTCCTAGCCTTCACCACCATCTCAAGGAGTATCTTTAAACTCCTCCAGTTCCCCTCCTTGGCCACTCCCAAGTTCAGCTCCAGACCTTCCACACCCAAAGCCAGCGGCCCAGGTAAACCAAAAGCTAGTCACTCTAATAGCAGTTCAAAGACCCTGCGGTTTTCTTAAGGGATCTACCCGTCTTAGGTGGCTTCTGTGGTTTTAAAGAGCAATTAATTTAAATAAAAAAATTTTTTTTAATTTTATGACACACATACTATAGATATAGATTGTCAGACTGTTCCAAAAGGCTATTCCAGTTACCTCTCCTACTGCAGTGCTTACCAGAGCCCTTTCCTAGGGTACAACCTGGCACAATATTGGTGTTAGGCAAACTGCAAAGGGAAGGCCAGTCATTGGCCCTGCCCTGCTGGCCAGTCTTCCACACTCCCCATCCCAACACTACCTGCTCTCCCCAGGGTTCTGGGTCATGACTCCCAAGACCAACCAGACGGCGCCTCTCACCATCACTGCTGCCAGAGGCTATACCGACTGTGTCCGCCACCTGATCCACCAGGGGGCTGAACTGGACGCCTGCATCGGAGGCTGGGCTGCCTTGCACAAGGCCTGCAGCCAGGCTCAGGTTGACTGTGTGCAGCTACTGCTGACCTCTGGTGCCAAGACCAATGTGCTATCTGAGGAGGGCACCGCCCCCCTACACCTCTGCACAGCTCCTGAGTCTTTGCAGTAGGTACCCAGGGCTTGAGATGGTTGGGGAGATGTGTGTGTGTGTGTGTGTGTCCAGCTCACACAGCCAGAAGAAGGGGAGACCCTGACATCTATATGCAGCTTTATAGTCCCTGAAGCACCTCATACATATGTGTCCCCACAATAATCAGGGAGCAGATCTCATTCTATGGATGGGAAAACCAAGGCTCAGAAAAGTCGAATGACTTGTCCAAGTTCCTATCTTCTAGACACGGGAGGCAGAAGCACCTACTGCCTTTTGGAAAAAACCCTGTTCCAACAACATTCTCCTATTCCCTGGGAAGCTTCTATAACCAAATCCCTATCCCATGTTTGAGATAGGCACCAAAAAAGTTCTATCCGTGTTTCCCAACCTTAGTGTGAAGCGCCCCCCTACCTCCTACTCCCTGCCTGATGGTATATGCACTTACAGATCTGAGCTACAGACAGGGCTGGCGGTAGTAAGGACTCAAGGGTTCCTGGGGACCTGTCTTGACTAGAGGGAGAGCAGTGGTGGACCTAGAAGTGATCCAGATTGGCCAACACTTTCTTTGATTCTTATGCACACATGGCTCAGACTCTGTCCTTTTATGTAATGTGAGAGCAGATACTTTGTAGACCCCTACTGAATGAGCTTTAGTGAGCTCTGGTAGCGTAATGGGTATGAATCGGGCTGCGAGCCGCAAGGTCAGCAGTTCGAAACTACCAGCCGATCCGCAGGAGAAAGATGAGGCTTCCTGTACAGGGTCGCTATGGGTAGGAACCGACTCAATGGCACTTAACAACAACAACAACTGAATGAGCTTTAGAATGCAGCTTAAATTTCGCATTTAGAAACCCAAATTAGCCCATGATTAGAATTTACTGAGGAAATTAATTCAGTCATTTCTGGAAGATTGACTGCTATTCAACTTGGCCACTGATCAAAGCGCCTATTAGACCTGTGTGGAGCAGGAGCGCGGGAATGCTGGCCATTTGGGAGGGAGGACACTTGCTTATCAGGGCATCATCGGGGCCAAAGGAGCTGCGCCTGAGTTTCCAGCAGCTGCCAGCCTGGCTTTTTAATTATAAATTACTGTTAGTTTAGTTTCCTCATTATTAATTTAGTTTGTTGCGTCTTTGGTTGACCCCAGTGTGTAATGATGCATATTTGCAGCAAGTGTTTAGACCTATAACTTCTCCAGAATTAGAAGGCTATGGGCCTTGTGCCCCAAACCTGTGTTTTATTTGCTTAATTTTGTTTGTTATCTCTAGGGGAAAGTGGAATTGGCAGGCCCTCAAGGACCTTCCCTAGCCTCACGGGGTGTGGCTGGTCTAGAAAAGTGGTCATCTATATTGGGGACAGGAAGAGTAATGTCTCTTTTTCTTTTATTATGATTCTATTGGTTTTCTTTTTAGCTCATACTCTTTAATTTTCTATGCTTCTTAAAGTACATGTTAATATGTTTTCAACGTTTTGTGCTATCAAATTATTAGGAAGCAAATGATGCAGAACCAGGCCTTAGGGTCCCACTCTGAGGTTGCCAGGTTAGACTCTGAGAGGGACTGTTTGGGGCAGTGAGTTCTAATTCTGACACTACCACTAACTTGCTGTGTGTCTTGACTGCACTGACAACTTTTGGGGCTATTTTTCATCTGAAAATCAAAGGCGCTCCTGGTGACTTTGATGGGTCCTTTAACTCTGCTGACTGTTCGTGACACCAGTCTGGACTACAGGGCAAGGTGGGTGGGAAGAAAGGGGTGGGGATGACAGCAGGCTTTCTGGAGAAGGGCGGCTGAGGAGGTTTCCCAGATCAAACCTTAGATACTCAAGATTTGCCCCCGGGCCTTACACCTGCCCACCAGGTGTGCCAAGCTGCTGCTGGAAGCCGGAGCCAAAGTGAACCTGGCAGCCCGCGAGAGTGAGATGACGCCCCTGCACGTGGCGGCGGGGCGCGCGGCCTAGAGGAGCATGTGGTCCTTTACCTTGATCATGGCGCCAACGTGGGCCTGCGCACCAGCCAGGGCGAGACGGCCCTAAACACGGCGTGCGCGGCGGCAGAAGGCCCAGGCTGCGGTTCACAGCACGAGGCAGTGGCGCTTCGGCTCCTGGAGGCTGGGGCTGATGCTCGGGCAGCGGGCCGCAAGCGCCACACACCGCTGCACAATGCCTGTGCCAATGGCTGTGCGAGCTTGGCTGAGCTCCTCCTCAGTTATGGAGCACAAGTTGGAGTTCCCAATGGGGCGGGCCACACACCCATGGATTGCGCGCTGCAAGCCATTCACGACATCCCCAACTGGGAGCCTGAGGTTCTCTTCAAGGTGCTTTTGGACTACGGGGCCCAGCCTGTGCGCCCTGAGGTGAGTGAGGAACCTTTCTTAGAGGAAGAAGGGGTCCAAAAAATGGGGACTGAAAGCCCACCCTCCATGGCCAGAGGTCTGTCTCCATCTGGGGAGAGATGATGGTCCAAGAGAGGAAAGAACCTCCAAGGAAAATGGAGCGAAGAAGAGCTTGGAGTATATTTGAAGGGTGGAGTGAACAGGCCCAGAAAAGGCGATGCAGATCTTAGCCCTCAAACTAGGGTGTGAGGGAGAGTTGTGTTAGGGTAGATCTGGGTCTGCCCTTGTTTGGTGGCCACCCATGCACAGAGGCGTGGTGCTTTGAGATCCTCTTTTGCTCCCTAGATGCTGAAACTGTGTGCCTCCTTTCCTCCGGCCCTAGAAGTCCTGCTTAACGCCTACACTTGCGTTCCAGCCTGTGATACATGGACCCAAGCTGTGCTTCCAGAATTGTGGCAGGTATGTCCAACCCAGAGACAGAGCTCTTCCCTGGAGGAGGGTGAGCCCAGTGAAGCCCTGGGTTACAGGGTCTCCAGCCTCCAAACAGCTCAGCCTGACCCCTCTCCAGCCTCTCTTACACCTGCATCAGCATAGATCAGTCAGTAATCGATGGCATCAGGCACTGTATCAGCCTTTCTGGGGTGAGGGTGGGTACAAACATAGATAAGTGTATGCTTTAAAATCAGGTTCACACACACACACCAGGTTGCCCCCAGATGGAAGGCCAGAAAGTTAAGGGTACTAGGCCACCTAACCTGTTCCACTCCTGACCTAGGAGCACGAAGCCTTCTACCGGTCTGCCCTGTGCATGGTGAACCAGCCCAGGAAGCTGCAGCACTTGGCCCGTCTGGCTGTACGTGTTCAGTTGGGTGGCTGCTGCCGCCAGGCCGCCACCCAGCTGCCACTACCCCCACTCCTCAGGAACTACCTGCTGCTGTGTGTGGAGGGGCACATCCAGTGAGCCCCACACCCAGGATGCACCCACAACGTCTGCCTCTCCATTTGCTTCCCACTCCTACCTCACTTCTTCGACCCTAGAGAGTGTCATGTATTTCCAGCCTGTTTATTCCTCTGTTGGCTTCCTGGGCCACCTGCTGACTTCCTGCCAGCCCTGAGCTTCACATCCTTTCTCCAAGGGGCAGGTCCTGGCCTGTCCCCAGACTCAGCCTTCACCCAGCTTCCTCTTCCTCGTCTAAGTCTAACTGGAGAGCCCCTCCATCCAGGTCCCCACACAGGAGATGGTGATCAATCCTTCAGGCCTTCTCCCTGCCACCAGGCACCTGGTCAGCCTCCTGAAGAGCAGCGAACTCTGCTTCTACCTGCACTGCTTCTGTCTGACCCGCCTTTGTCATTTCAAGGAGGACCCCACTGACTCATCTAGAATGATATCTGAGAATCACAACTCAGATCATGCCCTTCAGTGATTCCTCATGCTGAAATCCAAATGCCACAACCAGGCAAACAAAGCTTCTAGACCCTGACCTCTGCCCCATTCTCTGGCTTCCGGACTCCCTTCTCCCTTCTGAGTTTCTCCTAGCTTTAGGAAACTATCTGCAGGTTGCTGAATCTTTCCTTTGCTTCTGGGCATTTGTGTATGCTGTTCCCTCCGCTTGATATACCCTTCCTACATTTTTTGGCTTGGACAAATCTAAATTGATCCTCATGACTCAGCTCAAATCATACTATCTCTGCTTTTTTCAAGTTGGTTCCGACTCATAGTGACCCTGTATAGGGTTTCTGGTGAGCTTGAACCACCGACTTAGCAATTCAAACCAGTCCAGTGCATTAACCTGCAGCTCCATGCCAGGACACTGTCTCTGCTTAGTAGTGAACTTATTTAAGTAACTACCTGTGTCTCTTTCAACTAGACAGAGACTGAGATTGTCTTTCTTAAACAAGCACTTCAGTAAATGGTTGTTGGGAGGAAGAAATGCCCAAAGCTGGGACCATTGATGCTTGTGTTTCCTCAGTCTCTTTAACAGTGGTTACCAGGTACCTGGACCCTGAGAAGACTTATCAGGTGGACCAGCCACCTGCCATACCCTTTTTTTTCACTTTCTTGCTTCTCCTTTTCCAGGGTCATAAAAATACCACTATTTATCTTTCCGAGGAAGCTTTTCAAGCAACCCAGTTCTAATGAATGCAAAGAAATGATTTGTGTGCAAAACCAAAGCCTGGAAGTTGTTAGGTTTAAATGTGATGGAGATACCTGCCATCCCAAAGTTATTTTTCACCCTTTGTGATTTTCCAAGTTCTCTGTTTGAGCAAGTGTTACTTTTACAATCGTATAAAGGGTCTAAGAACACAGATAATATGCCTCAGATCCTTCATGTATCCAGAGCTTGTAGTACCCACTACAGGGGAGAACTGGGGAGGGGCTCCCAGCAGCCTGCTCAGCCTTCTGCTGGGGGACTGTGGGCTCTCCACAACATTTACCAATTGGACCACATGGTAGCGATCAGTCAGGAATCCTGGGGTCCACTTCTTGCAGCCACTGCCCCACCTTTTTTCCTCTATGGCATGATCTACCTGTGATTACGTTTTACCTACAAAAAGGTAAGACTTTACTTTGTGTGGCAAGGATCTCTGGTAGTGTAGTGGTTATGAGTCGGGCTGCTAACCTCAAGGTCAGCAGTTTGAAACTACCAGCTGGGAGGAAGATGGGGCTTTCTGCTTCTGTAAAGATTTCCAGCCTCGGAAACCCTGTACAGGGTCACTATTAGTCAGAACCGACTCCATGGGACACCACTGCCACCACCTTGTTTTGCAAGTCAGCAACTTCTCCTTTCTGGGCAGCGCTCTTATTTTTATTTCACAGAGTCAGGAATCCTGAAAAAATAAAGGAATGTCCCTGAATTCTAGGTCCTGGTTGGAAGCTTCACTGGGAAAAGAGGATGCCAGCTGTCCACAGGTTGACAGCAGGCAGACCCAACCAGCTGGGCCTTTTCCCATAGATTTACAACTACAACCAGATACCTGTTTAAGTCATGTGTGATTATGTATATGATTTTGAGACATTTCCCAGCTTGAAAGCATAAAAGATAAAAGACTGATAGATCTGGCTGTAGAAAAAGTATCAAATTGGTTATCATACATACACATACACACACATATAAGGGTCAGTCAAAAGGTACCCATGCTCTGGTTATATTAAAACACCTGTACACATCTACGGCTGAGGATAACATTGAGCATGCATGTGAGGTGATTCTGTGGAATAGACGAGTGACAATGGATTATGTGACAGAGCATTTGCAAATCAGCCATGGCTGTACCTCAGAAATAACCCACAGGAGACTTGAACTTTGAAAAGTTTATGCGGGATGGGTACTGAAAACTCATAGAAGATCATAAACAGAAGTGTTTGGATATCTGCAAACAAAATTTGGACTGATATTTGAAGTAAGGCAAAAGTTTCTTTAAAAAATATCATTACTGGCGATGAGACATGGATTCATCATTATTAGCTTGAGAGTTAACGGCAGAGTGTGGAATGGAAACATGCTCAATCGCCAACCAAGAAAAAGATCAAAAGTCAGCCTTCAGCTGGAAAATTGATGCTTACAGTTTTCTGGTATTCTCAAGGGTCAAAATTGGAACACTATCAGGAAAAGGGTTCAGTAATCAACTGTGTGCTCATTACAGTAAGATGCTTACTGAAGAGCTAAAGCCTAAATTTGGGATTAAAAGCAGAGGGCTGCTATCTAAGGGCACTATGATCTTGCACAACTTTGCCCACACAATAAACACTCTGTAAAAACTTCATTTTGAGGTGTTTAATTATCCTCCCTATAATCCTGGTATTGTTCCATCAGACTTTCATCTGGTTGGTCCCTTGAAAGCAGCCCTTCAAGGATGGAGATCTGTTGAAGAAGTGAAGACCGGTGTATTTGTGGCTCGCAGCTCAGCCTAAAACATTTTAAAACAAGGGAATACAAAAGCTTTCCCTTGCATTGAATGAAGTATTGAAAAGCAAAGAGATTATGTCAAAAAATGATGTGTTTGTCTTTTATAAAAATTGATTGAAATAAATTTACAGCCAGAGTAATGCACATACCTTTGACTCACCCTTGTGTATGTGTATATATATTTATATTTACACATACATATGTAAGTTGTCAAGTGCCATCAAGTCAGTCCCGACTCATAGCAACCCTGTGTATTACAGGTAAAAGGCAAAATGTGGGAACCAGTATCTGCAGCTAAAATACTTGATTTCCTTGATGTGGGAGGAGAGAATAGCATCACCATTGTGTTCACTATAGTTCTGGTGCAGTGCCTCACAGCTACTCAAATATTTGTCAAATCATTGAAGGATGGTGCCCAACCTCACCAGTCATCAGGGAAATGCAAACTAAAACCACACAAAGAGACATTAGCCACAACTCATGATTAGGAAAATGTAAAGATTGTTAATAATTTAGTGCCAGATTGATATGAGTCAGCACCCTTACGATAGGAAGAAATAAGTACTTGTAAATGCTGTTGGGGGAAAAGGAATTGCCTATTTGTTAGTCTCTTTAAAAATTGTTCCCAAATTCACAACAGACAGTACACAGGGGCATGGGCATGCTCATATCAGTATTGCTTGCAACAGTAGAAAACTGAGGACAACCCAAAATGTAGGAGGTGATTAAATAAATCCATACTCTTGGAATACAGTTCAGCCCTTCCAATGGGCAGTGTGCACAGCAGGAGAGAACCAAGGAAGGACTCCAAGTGACCAGCATGTATACTGACTTGAAAAGATCTCCAAGCCTGTTGTTAAGGAGGGAAAATAGGTTGAAACACAGTATGGACATCAAACAAAACAAAATGACAGGATCTTTGTAGATGAACAGAAGAAGGCCTAGAAGGCTGATTTCTGAAAATTCTCCTCTGGAACTGGGGGCGGGGGTGGGTACTGTGCCTGTAGGGTTAAATTTGAATGTTAACAAAGGGTTTTTGTGGATTCTTGTGAAATTAAAAATATTTTTTAAGGGATGAATGGGGAAAGGGACACAACTAGGTGGCCCAGTTGTTAAAGCACTTCGCTGCTAACCCGAAAGTCAGCAGTTTGAATCAACCAGCTGCTCTGAAGAAGAAAGATGAGGCTTTCCACTTCTGTAAAGATTTACAAAAGTTGGAAAACCTAAGGGGGTGGGGGACAGGTCTATCCTGTCCTATAGGGTCACTATGAGTTGAAATGACCTCAATGGCAGTGGTTTTGAGTCAATGAAAAATGTGCAAACTTACTAGTGATGAAATAAATGCAAATTAAAAGAACCATGACACATTTCTACCTATCAAATTTGAAAACAGGAAACAACAAATTTTGAGAGAAAAGAACCCTGGTAACATACTGGATTATGAGCTGGACTGCTAACAGCAAGGTCACTAGTTCAAATCAGTCATGTCATGGGAATTAGATGAGGCTTTCTGCTCTGCTAAAAATTTATAGCCTCAGAAACCCTATACAGACAGGGTCACTATGAGTCAAAACTGACTCCATAGCACACCACCACCACCACTGTTTAGGGAAGGGGAAAGGGCTCTTTATAGCCACAATCAATGCTCATGTTAGGAACAGTTGAGAAATCAAATGACGTCTTGCATTAGGCAGGGGTTTGTTGTTGTTGTAGGTACCAACAAGTTGATACTGACTCAGAGCGATCCTCTGCACAACAGAATAAAACACTGCCTGGTCCAGCGCCAACCTCACAATCACTGCTACATTTGAGTCCATTACTGATGCCACTGTGCCAATCCATCTTGGTAGTCTTCCTATTTTTCTCCAACATTCCACTTTACCAAACATGATACTCTTCTCCAGAGACTGGTCCCTCCTGATGATATGTCTGAAGTATGAAAGATGAAGTCTGGCCTTCCTGGCTTTCAGGGAGCACTCTGGCTGTACTTCTTCCAGCACACATTGTTTTGTTCTTTTGGTTGTTGTTAGGTGCCGTGGAGTTGGTTCTGACC